TTTATTTTATAAATATCGGTTTAGTGTGATATTGATGGCTCAACAACGGGTGGGTGAGTGGGAGATTTCATTTGACTAATCCTGCATTCAAGCCTATTGCCTATTGGTACTATGATTGGGGGGGGTGGTTCAATGAAATTCTGGTTAAATTTCTTATCGTGAGATTTGAAATTTGAGTTTTGCGGTCTATATAAGATTTCGATGATTCACTGTTATGTTAATTCTCTAGTTAGATTCATTTTTGAGATGAATAATGTACGAGGTCAGGAAATTTATGATCTTATCAATAAAACTCTATCGGAGTTATGCTCTCATTTATCCCTACCCATTTTTTCAATAAAAAAAAATCCTATTGGTTATCCAAAGCAGGGGCGGAGCTACATGTATTGGTGTGGGGGCAAATACCCCCACTAACTTTTGAGGGGTTAACTTCGTAAATTGATATGACAATAACGATATGTTCAATTTATCTCATTGTCCCTCTTAAATTTTTGAAAATTTAAATAGTGGCCCTAGTCTTTTTTGTCTTCAATAAGTTGGTGGTTCATTTGTTCTCCTAATCTATTAAAACAAGTATTTTTTTTTATTAAAATAAGTAGTAAAAATGATGTGTGATTCTTTAACTCATTATATATATTAGCCAAATACAATATCTCTCTTATTTAATAGAATTTCTCATATTTTTTAATATTATTGTATAATAACATATGAATAGACGCAAATGATAAGTTATGCACATTTATGCCCTTTCAAAAATATCAATTTCTCAACAAGATTTAAAAATTGCTTACAAATTTATCATAAAATTGATTAATTATAGACATTCTTGAGATTTAAAACAAAATAACCATTCTAAAAATATTAATTTCTGAACAAAGTTAAAATGAAGTTACTTAGAAATTTACCGTAGAATTGGTTAGTTATGGACGATTTTTGAGATTTTAAACAATATCGTCGTGTTTCTCTTTAATATATGATTGAGTTGAAATTAGTCACTAAAAAAATTATTGTTCTTGTTTGTTCATATTTTCTTAAATGCTGAATTGATTTATTTTTATATAAATTATTTTAATATATTGCTCATAGTTGAACTTAAAAAAAATAATTCTGCAAAATTTATTAACCCTTATTATTGGAGGTGGAGGAGAATTTTTTATACCAATTAATTAAGGAAAATACCACACCTCACACTCTTTAAATAGGATATTACCTCTCACATCACCTGTTTCAAAGATTCCATAGCACAAGACAAGACTATTTTCTTTTTAGCTGGATGGCAATCTTAGTTTTGTAGTTTAAAACGTATTTCTCGGATATATATATATATATATTAGTCATAATCCGTGCACGAAGACACGATAAAATATAAAATTTGAGTGTCTAAAAAATTGATCTCATTATATTAATTTTTTTAAAAATATATTAATTATAAATTAATTAAATATTAAATAATTAAATATATGATAGAAATGAGTTATATGATATTTTTAGAGAATAAATATATAAATGATTAAACATATAATAACAATAAGTGATATAATTTGACGTTTGAATCTGACAAAGGGACGATGGATGAGGTAAGTGATTAGTGATGATTTTAAAGGAAAAAATATGATTGAGACAAAATTCAAGCACACTCCTGTTTTATTATATATATATATATTATTATTATTCATAAATCTGTTATATTAATTAAATTCGAGTTTTATATGAGTAATATAATGCAAAGTTCAACGTATTGATTAAATTTAAATTTTGTGTGATAAATAAATCTTAAACTTTAAATACTTTGCAAATTTGTTATTTACTCGAATCAATTTGGGTCCATTTGGGCTATCCCACGTTGAATAGTTTTTGGGGTGTGTATGTTTATAAGTCTCCATCTAACTCTTACTCTAACAGAGTAAGCGGTTAAGTATGACCTAAAAAAAATTCGATCCATTTGGGAATGATTTTTGTTTTTCGGAATACCTAACACAAGATATAGATACAGATACGTGATCTCTAGAGGGCATATGACTGTATGGGTGTGCACGAACATGATCCAGTGTTTCAATAAGGCCGGCAAGGTGCCTTACTTTTGTATCACTTCAACAATGAGGGGAGGGGGGGGGGTCGGTGAGCTATGGCCCACCACTCCCCACTACTTTCGCCAGCTTCTGAGTCCCCACTTTTGAAAAATTTTTAGTTGGTTTGTACGTTAAATAACAGTATATAAAAATTATTTTTGATAAGAATTTTGAGAAAGTATTTTTAAATTACAAAATTTGTTTGGTTATATATTTTTAAAATAATTTTAAAGAACAAAAATTTAAAAATTTATTTAGATAATAATCTACAATTCCCACCTCTCTTCAACTCTCTCTCTCTCTCTCTCACTGTGTATCACCCAACACCCACAACAAAGAACCACCATCAACCTAACACGCACAACCACCACCACCCACAACCACTGTCAACCCACAACACACAACCACTACCAACCCAAATTGAAAACCGCCCAACACTCACAATCACCACCAACCCACACCGAGAACCACCCAATACCTACTACCACCACCTAAATCGAGAATCACCCAATAAATCGTGCCAAAAACGAGAAATCAAAATCAAACCAAGCAGACCCAAAAAATGGGATCATCTGCATTTGTTAGCTAGAGCTGTGTTGCAGCAGATCTGTTATAGTATTAAAAGGAATAATGAAAAAATCAAAAAAAAAAAAAACCCAAAAAAAAATTGTGCTAAAAAGAAAAAAAAACTCAAATCTATAGCTTACTTGAGTCGGGAGAAAACGATTTACAGTCGCCGAAGAATATCTTTTTGTTAGAGAAGACAAAGTTGTCGGAGAGTATAGTCGTTTGGGTTTTGTCGAAGTAGAGAGAGAGAGAGGCAAAAAAAAAAAAGAGACAACAGACAAAAAAAATACCTTTTATAGGAGGACTTTATTTGCTGTTAAGAAGGTTCGAAGGGTAAACCTCTTTAATAAGCAAAACTTGTCTCCTTATTTCCAAAATTTTTAAAGAAAACTCTGAAAACAAGTTTAACTTAATTCTATTTTTTTGCTCAAATTCCCATTTTTTCTAAAATTTTTGAGAACAAAAATGTTAAACAAATAAGTTTTAGATGTTTTGAAATTTTGAGAACAAAAAATAGTTTTCGGAATGCAAACCAAACACCCCCACAATTTTTAATTTATCATATCTTTTTTTAATTTGTATTTAAACATCGTTGACACCTTTATCATTAAACTACTATTTCTAAAAAAATAAGAAATAAAATTCATTTAAAATATTAAAATTACCCCTATGTAAGCTCTAAATAATTTTTATACTTAAAGTTTGATTAAAATTTGAGCCGTTAAAATTTATTTAAAATTTAAGTTGATTAAAATTTTTTTTACATATTAAAATTTGAATCGATTAAAATTCGATTCGAATTGATTAAATTTTATTTTTTTACGTATAAAAATTTCAGTCTATTAAATTTTTTTAGTTTTTTTTACATATTTAAATTTGAGTCAATTTAGCTCAATTTGAACTATTGGCGTTGATTAAAATTCGATTCGATTCGATTCAAATTTGTATTTTTGTACTTATTAAAATTCGTGCTAATTAAAACTCGATTTCAAGTTTATTAAATTTTTTTTTTATGTATTAAATTTGAGTAGATTAAAATTTATATTTTTTTACATATTAAAATTTGGACAGATTAAAATTCAATGTGAATTTATTAAAATTTGATTCGAGTTGAATTTTAATAAGTAAAAAAAATCATAAAATAGAGTAAGTTTCATTAAAGATATACATATCTAAAGAATGTGTGAATAAATTTTTTTTCTAAAATACATCATAGGCAATTTAGTAAAATTATATTATAATTAAAGTTTTTAATCTAAGAAGAGGTGCCATTAAAAATTTTAAAAATATTCTTAAAAATATAATAAATTAGAAAAGATGTGATTGAAATTTTTTTCTCACTTCTTCTTCGGTTTATGAGAAAGTCGTTCATTGACAAAAAAAAAAAAGAGAAAGTCGTTCATCCCCTCAAATTATTCCGCCAGCCAAACACCCCCTCTCTGCTATGTTTGTTTACGCGGGGAATTTTTCTCAACCAATCATCACTCTCTTCTCAGACTGCTCGGTTCTATTACACGGAGGATTTTTCTCAACCAGTCATCATTCTCTTCTCATACAGCACCCTTCAACCCATGGGCGCATATTAGCACCCGCCAATACCAATGTTTTGACAGACACGATCACACGTGGCGAATTATTACACCGCCACGTCATCAAGCCGCCTCTTCCTTCAACCTAGCTTTATCACCACCACCAAACCCTTATCTCTCTCGTCACTTTCTCTGTCTCTCTCTCTCTCTTTGAAATTTCTACAGTTTCTTTTTCCTCTGTGCCCATCAAGGAGGTCCATTAGAGATTCAAAAGTGACTCGTTCCTGCTCACGATGGGTTCAATCGCCGATCCCGGCGAGTTGACTCAGCCGAGCTTCGACGAGTTCCAGAGACAAACCTCTCTCATGACGAGCTGTACTCTTCTCTGGAAAGAACTCTCCGATCACTTCACTTCTCTTGAACAAGACCTCCTGAAGAAATCTGAAGCTCTCAAAGCAAAACTCAAAACCCTCGACACTCAAACCAAACAGTCACTCCAAGAACTTGAGAAACGCGAAACCACCATGAACAGTTCAATCGAAATCGCGCTTGGAAAAGTCCAAGAGAACAAAGTACTCGCCATCAATTCCAGAAATGACACCGTTACAGAGCCCGAAGTGGATGATTCTGAAGGTTTGCTACTGAAATTGAGCTCTTTCTGTGTGAAAATGAATTCTCTAGGGTTTTGGAAATTTGTGATTGTACGGAAGAAGGAATTGGATGTAATGAGAACGAAAATACCGGTGGCTTTAGGGTTTGTGTAGATCCGGCGAGATTTGTTTTGGAGGCTATATCGGAGGTGTTTCCGGTGGATACAAGGGAGTTGAAGAGTGATAGAGTGAATGACTTGGGTTGGGCTTGTGTGTTGATGTTGGAGTCGTTGATTCCAGTGATGGTGGATCCAATACTGGGGAGTGAGAGGATGTTGGTGACGCCTAGAGTGAAGGAAAGGGCAAAGGAGATTGCGGAGACATGGAAGAAGAGCTTGGAGGAAAGGGGAGGGATTGAGAATGTGAAGACTCCGGATGTTCATACGTTTCTGCAACACTTAGTGACTTTTGGGATTGTTAAGAAAGAGGACGTGGAGTTGTATAGGAAGCTTGTTGTTGGGTCGGCGTGGAGGAAGCAAATGCCCAAGCTCGCTGTTTCGCTCGGTTTGGGTGATAAAATGTCTGGTATGTTTCCGATTTGTTTTTATTTTTTTTCTTGATATAGAAATTAATGTTCCTACTTGGATTGTTAGTAGCTCATATTGGGGACCTGTAAAATTTATAAGAAAAAGGAGCACTTAAATCAAATGATACATGTCAGGAAGTGTATTTCGGTATTTGATACCACACTTTATTTAAAATATATTGTTGCGAGTTTAATAGAAAGATATTGTACGAAAAATACTAATTTTAGAGGTTGCAGAACTATCAAATTGGGACTGATTGCATCCCGATGGGAAGGGGATTTCAACATTGTAAGGTTGTAAGTTCAACAAAGAAGTTTGTATGATATTTCTGATTTCTGAGGTTTGAGAAATTATGTTGAATGGGATTAAATCTGAGGCAAGAGTTTTCTAATTATGCACATACTAGTTTTCACTTTTTTTTGCTGTAAGCAAAGAGGTGTGATACAACTTTGGTGGGAATCCATTGTCACCATCTTTTTGGGATTTGGTGGTGGAGGGAGTGCAAAAAAAATTAGATAGGGTGGAAGAGAGCTTTTATTTCTTGAGTTTTTTTTATTTGGTTGGGGGTAAGATTAACTTTAGTATAGTTAGTACTAGTTAGTATTCCCACATTTTTTTTCTTTATTGAGGATGCCAAGTAAGGTTGCTTTGAAAATTGAAAAATGAGTGGATTTTTGTGAGAAGGAAGTGGTGAAGGGGAGTAAGGATAAATGTGGTATTTCAATTGAAAATTTAAAGGCAAGAAATGTTGTTTTAGTGGATAAGTGGTTGTGGAGGTTTCCTTTAGAACAAATGCGCTATGACATTTAGTTATCAAGAACAAATATGAATTACAGACACTAACATAGTTGAAGGGGGAAGTTTCCAATGCCCATAAAATTTATATTTCAGGGATTGACTAGGTTCTGTCGAAAGCTTGTGTTGGTTGTGAGAAATGGGATGAGAGTCCGTTTCTAAGAGGATGTATAGGTGGTGGAGTCATCTTTGTTATAAATGTTTCCACGTTTCTATCATTTATCTTCCTATGATGAAGCGACCATTGCTTCCTTGATTAGATATTACAATCAACCATATTCTTGATATTTTGGTTTTTATAGAAATCTTTATAACAAATATTGAGGGATGTGATATCAATTTTGAATACTTTTGATGATTACTTCTTATGCCTAGAGGCATGTGACAGAAGAAGGTGGGTTCTTGAGTCTTCGAGTGTTTTTCCTTGTAAATCCTAAGTTTGATTATTATTTTGATGACTTTTCTTGTCTGTTTTTTATATTCGTTATGATGATTTGGAAAGCTAAAGTGCTGATAAAAGTGTAAGTTTTTCATTTGAAATCCTTCTATGATTATTATTTTGATGACTTTGGGTTTGGGTTACTAAGGATTTCAAAGGAAACCCGCCTTTACAATTTAGGCGGGATAACAAGCATCATGTGATATATAGGTTGTTCTATGTGTTGGATTTCTTATCCAACAATTTTGATGTACAGTTTGTTTTAATAATAAAAGTTTTTTGTTCATATTAAAAAAAAAAAAAAGAGCTGTGATTCCTCAAGGGAAAAACAAAGTAGATGACTGATTAATATTGAACAGGAGGTACTGGAGAAATGTATGGTGGTCTTTGAATAACCTTTGCTGGATGTTTTCTTGAACTTAAGGCACTAATGCCAAATTTTATATGGAGATTGGTATTAAAAAAATTTAGAAGTTGCCTCTTCTTGATTTGTATGTCCTACCTTGCTATCCAAAATGCATATCATTGTTCACCTGATTATGGATCCTTATTGCCATAAGGGCAATGCCTAGTCAGCTAGTCTTCATCAATTGTGCATGAATGTGAATACTAAGTTGGAGTTTTTGGTGCCCAATTTACCCAAGGGACCGTTTGCCAACAGAAATAGTCCATAGGAGTATTTACTTCTAGTCTAAGAAAACCGTTAAATATGGTGTTTCACTATGTTCTTCATATGATGACCATTGATCATACTTATTCCTATTGGGATAATTCGAGGGCTGTTCTTTAGGATAAAAGTCTTCAACAAAGCAAGCTGACATTTACAATGAGCAGCCACTCTTTATTTTGTTCTGGCCCCTATCTTGGTGCCACCTCTTTTCTCTTGATATTGAAATGTAAATGGGTAACCTCCTATTGGTGTACATTGGGGTGATGCCATCCATTTGTTCATGAGAGAACTTGGTCAACTAGTCATAGTTTTGTTATTGTATCAAGAGTGTATGTGAGTGTGTGCCATTACTTTGATTATTAATCGCTTTTTAGTGGAAAAGTGGTCATGATGGGATCTATGGGTGTGCTCTTTTTCTTGGCCCTTTGACCGGTGTATACTTTCTTTGGATGCTATTTAAAACATGTAACTAGTAGAACATGAGTGGTTATATTCTTGTGTACATGTAGCACTCACATGTGCTTTTTTTAGCGCTTCTGATTTGATATGCATTAAGCCTTGAGTTTACTTTCTATGTTGAATCAAGTGCCTCCATTATACTGCTATTGTAATGGGATATTGTGCTCATCGACCTTGCTGGTGCTAGCTTTCAATATTGTTGGTTCATTCTCTTGACTTAGCGGACATGTATAAATATTTTGGTAGCATAGCTTCCTATATGGTGGGGGCCATTCTCTTGATTTATTGGACATGTTTCAAATTCAGTTGGTAATGATAGATGCCTATAAGTTAGTTTTGGCTTGTTTTATTCTCTTGTGTGCAGATATGATTGAAGAATTAATTAGCAGGGGACAGCAGGTTGATGCTGTGCATTTTACTTATGAAGTTGGCCTTGTGGACAAGTTCCCCCCTGTTCCCCTTCTGAAAGCTTTTCTGAAAGATGCCAAAAAGGCTGCAACGTCTATTTTGGAGGATCCCAACAATTCCGGGAGAGCTGCGGTATCTTTTTATTGCATTCATCCAGAATTCCAGATGAATATGCTTTCATTGTATATATCAGTGTGTTACCTACTTGATTCATTGTTGGGTTGAATGCCATATGCTTCCTTCACTGCTAGTTGCCCTGCTCCCTTCTCATCCTGTTGGTGTTGGGCTTAGCTTGTGGTTGTATACTTATAAGAAGTATTTGTGGTTCTTACTCTTTTGCAAGTTATATGTCTGTATCGCATTGCACCAAGCACTGAATTCTCCTTTTGTGAGAAACTTGGTGACAAATATTAATTGTGAATTGCATACATGAAGTAAACTCCTAGGGTGGGAGAGACAAATTTCATCCCACACATTCCATTATCTTGCTAAAGTATGATAGCATTTTGGTTTTTTGCTAGTTGCATCAAATTTGTATTTCACAGACCTTATGTCTAAGATTTGTCATTCATCATGTTAGGTGAATCGGGCTTTTCACAGATTGGTTAATATTTTAAACAAGTGTGAAATAATATCATGTTTGGTCTTTTTCTATTTGATTTCAATAGGAGATACTGAAGGCTGGTTCTTTCCTCTTTTCTCTTCTTTTGTTTTTTGGTTAATATATAGCACCTAGCTGCAAAGAAAGAGCAGTCAGCACTCCGCGCGGTCCTCAAGTGCATCGAAGAGTATAAACTCGAGACTGAGTTCCCCCAGAAAATCTGAAAAAGCGCCTTGAACAGTTAGAGAAGACAAAGGGTGAGAAGAAAAGGCCTGCTGCTGCAGTCCCTGCCAATAAACGAACACGAGCCAGCAATGGTGGGCCCATGCCCCCAGCAAAGGCTGGCCGTTCGACAAATGCTTATGTTTCATCTTTCCCAACAGGGCCCACATTCGTCAGGTCTCCCTCTCAGGCTCAGTACACTGCTGGGGTTCCATCATATCCAGCATCACCTGCTATGTATGGCCATGGCAGCAGGAGCCCACCATCCAACCCCTATGTTTACTCACCTGAAGCAGCCCCTCCTGCCATTGCTGGACCATATCCAGGAGCACCAATGAACTATCCTGCATACGGAGGATATGGAAATGTTATGGCACCAGCTTATCAGCAAGCTTATTACCGATAGATGACTGGTCTTCGAAGATGGTGACAACTGATATGGTGACCCCAATCTGAAATATTTCTAAATGGTCTGTAATCACTAACCTTTTAATGGTAGCGATATCTGTGTGTTAATCCTTGATTCTGAACCGTGTCCTGCGTCTTGCTTTGTCAAGAAACAGGTTGTATTTCTGATGTTGACTAAAGTCTTAGTACTAGGTGATTGTGAAAAGGTAATTAAGGAAGTTGCTTAACAACTCAGGGTAGCAATGGTAATGGGGTGTAGTAGGACTGCTGTTTTGTGTATGATATATGGTTTTATCTGTTTAGTTCCCGAGTTTACCTTTCATGTTACCAGGAATGCAAGAATTGTAGGACTCTGCAAGTTCATATACCCAAGATTTATAGCATTTGATAGAGTTTGAGGGCCCTCCCTCCCTTTCATCCAGTCCCGACTCCCGAGTGGTTTCGATCACAGAATAGATGATGTCCAGCTAATTAACGTGTGTCGCAGGAGCTGGGCTTTCCTGATATGCAAGTTGGAACGTAAGAGCTGCAGTGGGAATAGTCTGCGTCTGTCGGAATTGGCAGGGTTATTGTCACTGTTGAAATGGTGAAACTGGACTCATATAGTTGATTTCAGATTTCAAATGATTGAGACATAAGGTTTAGTTGGGATTGGTTTGGTTTGATTTTGTTTATTGTCACTGTTGAAATGGCAACTTTAGAAGTTCCATACCGTCCTATTATTATTAAATGGTATGATAAGTATTGGTTCTCTTGAAACTCATTTTTCTGTCATAAGCAACCTGCCTGTCTCGAACCTAGTAGGTGGAGATTGTTTGAGCTCATATGTTGCCTTTTTTTACCTGCAAATTTTCCCTTTCTCCTCGTGGGCTCTCAAAGTATGTGGATAGAATTTTTAATATCTCTTAATAATTCATTAAAATTCAATTTGAAAAAAAGTTCAAACCAGAAAAAACTTGTGAAAGGGTTTAGGAATCGTCAACTAGATTGCAATGGTGATACAAGTGAATATTATTTTGTAGTATCACCAACCAATAACGTGTAAACAAATAAAAAAACGAATTTTACATAAGTTGATAATTATTAGTTTATGTAAGCCAATAACTATTCATTTTTCTTCTATGTAATCTAATAACTATCTAAGTAAGGTTTATTTTATCCATTTAAAATTTTATTATTGATCAGTGTTACTATGTCATCAATACTGATTTGATATTATCATTACTATGTCGAGGAGAAATTGAACATTTTCAACAAAATCTGTCATTCATCATTTTGCCAGAATTTTTTTAGAAAAAAGGGTAATTGTGTGTTAATTTTTCATTGCATATGCATACTACATGACACTGTCACGTGATAAATTAGATTAACTCTTATTTTTTTTTTCCGAACCCTAGGGTTAATGACCCCCTTCCATTCTGGTACAATTCAATTTCGAAGCCCCTTTGAGTCATTTACTATTCTCAGCGATGTAACAACAACTTCTGGAATGGTATCTTCTTCATTAGTTTCCCATGTTAAACAACGTCGTTTGATGTCCAGACCACGAGTCGTCCAGCTGTCATTGCTCAATTGAATCCTAGTTCAAACAGTCCAATTACTGTTGTAGCAGAGAAGTTTTGGCTTTCGCATCCCAGTTGTTTGATGATTTGCCTCTAAGAACGGTACCCTAAACCAACAATAACGCAACCTTAATTCTAACCCTTATCAGTTCAATCATTCTTGTTAATTTTTTTTTAGCTGTTAGTGACCCTTTTATAGCTGTGACCCAAATGACATTTATGTTCTTAAGAAGAGTCAGCACCTTAACCTCAGTGGTGAATTGTCATTTGCTTTTGCGGGTATGTGGTTTTTCTTCAAGGGTCCTTGGTTTGGAAAATCAAGCAGTACAAGCATCATTGAATGATAACAAGGGAATTACGTCTCCTAATTACGTCAGTAGGCATCATCTTTCGCCATGGTTCTCGGATAATAAAGCTCATTTGGAGGATTGTAAAATCGAGCTTGTGGATAATGAGTCTTGGCACGTTTCTTCTGGACTAGCCGAGGCGTGGAGAGGTACTGCTGGGATGGTGGAAAGACAAGCTGTATTTACGGAGGAGGATGAGGTAGTGCTTAACAATGTACCACCAAACAAGGAGGACCCTGATTTCGATGAGATTGAGGATATGAGAGTTCGTGGCAATCTATTCTATAAGATTGACAGGGGTTCCAAAGAGTTTGAAGAGTACAGTTATGACTTCCACAGGAGGAATTCGGCAAAGAAGAAAGGTGATCGATCAGAAAGAAAAAAGAATGACAACCTAAGTCGTAATTTGGCATCCCCAATCGAAAAATCTTCGAAGAACAAAGATGAATGGAAAGAAAGCAAGAAGGAAGATGTGAATCATAGTTCTGCCCTCAGAGGGGAGAGACTTCCCAAAGTCGGTAAGGAAAGCCATCTGACTTTGCAATTTCATGAAGTGGACAATTCTGGTGCTGGGAAGAAGCAAAGGACTCCCACTTTCAATCAGCTTACAGCACCTTACCATGAGCCATTTTGCTTGGACATTTACATATCAAAGGCGTCAGTGCGTGCCTGCATCATTCACCGGGCGACTAGCAATGTTGTTGCTGTGGCGCACACTATTTCTAAGGACATGAAATTTGACCTGGTATCGACTAAGAATAGAACTGCTTGTGCTGCTGTTGGGGAAGTATTGGCTCAGAGGGCCTTGGCTGATGATATCCATAATGTGGTTTATACGCCTAGGAAAGGGGAGAAATTGGAAGGGAAGCTTCAGATTGTACTTCAGTCCATCATTGATAATGGTGTTGATGTTAAGGTGAAGATCAAGCAAAGGAAATTCAAGAAAGCTGGCTTACTACCTACAGCTTAGGAGCATTATTGACTTGTTGGCTGCTTGATACGGAACTTTCACTATTGGGTTAGCCATATTTCATGTAAAACTTGGGGTTATAAATCCAAGTTTTTCAATGGTATTAGTCATCCTGATGAAGATATTAGTGGAAGATTGTTGATTAAGGCTAGAGCTACATGATGTGCTTGCATTCCACTCTTACTTGTTCATTGCCAACCACATCATTGTTTCAGATAGAAAAGGACTTTCCTCTAAGCAAACGAGAGCTTAATGCTTAGTTTGGTTAAGCAGATGAGGAAGGAAAAGGAAATTACAAATTCTATATAACTACTCCAGTTGTTGCGGCGAAGGAGCAAGCAGAGCATAAAACAATCTAGCTGAATGGGTTCATCAACGCATTAGGTAGCATTCTTGTTGTGGGTTTCTGAGTAACTGTAAATTTGCAATTTATGACTAAGTCAGATTTTATTTTGCAAAAATTCTCCAGTCTTATGAATCCATGGGGGGTATATAATGACCACCATTCTAAATCCATGTTTTTGCAAAATCATTCAAATCTTAAACCTTAACCAGAGTTCAGACAGCTTCTATGTGCAGCATTTGGAAATACCCAAGATGGCTAGGACCATCCTTCAATTCTCATTCAATCCAGTTAAAAAAATGGTCTATGATCTCAGTAAACCATTGTGATCAGCTATTTGATGGTAGCATTTGTAGAATTTGCTCTTTGACGAGAGGAATAGACCAAGCACTCGGTAGCAAATGTCCACTGCTTAGCCCAGAAAGCAAAAAAAAATGTCCATCCAATTGTTATGCCTCGACATTTTCTCTGAAAGCATGGTAATGAATGTAGCAGAGAATAACAGAAACAGCAGAAATAAGCAACATAGTACTCTTTGACACTCCGAAAAATTCCTAGACATTACTGTTTTCTATCAGAAATGCAAAATCGAAACTGCTATTCAAGCATTACTGTTTTACATTGAATTTAGTCATTGGCAGTGGCTAATTGCAGCGAAAGAAGCTCATCCTCCGGGATAGTCCGAATGTGACAATCCGATTGAGGGTACGATACACATAGTAAGGTATAGCCACGCTCCACAACATCATCACTAAGCATACCTTCACTCTGATCAACTGTTCCATTAAGAAGGCGTGCCGGGCAAGTCATGCACACCCCAAGCTTGCAATCATGTGGCACAGACAAGCCAGTGTCCAATGCCTTGGACAGAATTGTCTCATCAGGCTCAACCTCTAGCTCAGTGGTTTTACCTTGGTGTTCAATTAGCACTTTGTATGACCGGACAATGCCCGATAAGCGGCAGTTCAAGCTCGGCCGTGACCGTGGGATATTTAGCTTTGTGGCAGCAGCAGGGAGGTTGCTTTGCTTTTTGGGTGGGGCGAGGGTGAAGGGAGGAGATGTAGTGAAAGGAAGAGTTGCCATGGTTTTTGACTGAGGAGTAGGGGGAAGTATTTTTGGAGTGTGGAGGAAATGTATGGTGCTTGAAAGGATAAGGTTTTGTTGGTCTGGATTAGTACATGTGTTACCTTAGTACATATGTGTTACCTTATCTTCTAGTTTTTGTTTAATCATCAGATATGTTTGGAACAGTTTACTCATGTTTCAGTTAATCCCTTCGTTAGTCTAGTCAAAGATAGGTTATTCACTTAGAACTAAAATATTTATAAAAGATAAATTTTTAATAATTTAAACCAAAATTCAAACTTAGAACATCTGGTTACCTTATCTTGCCTGCCCATATTCACTGTTTAGTGTGTATAATATATGAGCTTTATTACTCTGAGCAATGCTAGATGATCGAATCTAAGAATCTAATTTATTATTGATCTTGGACAAGTTATGATTTTCAATGATTAATGGGACCCATTTTTATCATACAATTACAATTGATTAGCTTCCCAAATTAAATAAAAATGACATTTTCCTTATTACAAATGTTTAATTCTCCTATTATTGATTTTATTAAATTTTAGAACAAAGTTTCTAAAAGTAAACAATGTGCATCACATAGATCAATTACTTGTACATATATATGAAATTCTACGTGATAGCTGTCGTTGCGAAAAAATTTAAGATAAAGTCAATTTAACTTCCTCAAGCAATAGATGATTTTGATGAGCCCAAATTTTATTAGGTCAAGTCCAATTAATGAGATAGACCCAAATTAACTAAAAGGAAGGTCAAACTCAACTCATTGACTCAGCCCAGTCCAAGATTCAAGAAATTTAGGAATATTAGCGCACATGGAGAGCAATTGTCGGAATAGTCACTCTCTAGATGAAGTCCATCTATAATTGTAACTATTTTAGTTGTAGTTATCCTCCCCGAGAAGCTAGTAACCTACTCATCATGTCACCACTTCAACCAAGACACTGTGCTTATAAATTGTAAGTTCTCTCTATATGAGAGGGACACCTCTCTACACACCGCTCACATAGTTTTTCTCTCTCCTAACTATTATACCTCTTTCAGAGCTAACCTTTACTCTTTCTCTCTCTCACTTTACTTCATTAATAAAGGTCCTTCGGCCACCGTTGTCGTTTCCTGAAGTGGAATAGGTTACCCGAATCGAATTATTATATATTTGTGTGTTAATCCAATATTTACCTTTTTGTCATTTGTTATTTTATTAATTGGCTCATTAATTCTCTTATATTATTCACTCGATTGTTGATCTTGTATAAGTCTATTTTGTATATCTATTTTGTGTATCATTAAATCTTGTGCTATTTTTCTGACCACTATAAAATGAGAAGTTTTGCTAATTCTACTGTGCGAGTCTTTTTTTTTCCTCACATTTTTCCCCTATTTTCATGAGTATTAATGATAAAAATTGAAATTTTTGTTCCACCTCTCTCATGATAATAATATTCTAATCCTGGTGTTATCTCATCCTATCTTACTTTAACAATTAGACTACGAAAAAGTTTTACTTTATTTTTCTATACAATAAAAAATTAGGACCTTTGTTCACCAACTACTAGCTCTTGGTCAAAATTTGACAATAAGAAGTCTTGATTATACAGAGTCTTATAGGGCAAATCCCTAAGCAGTTCAAATCCTATGGAAAAAAAAATAGTGTCTAAATCAACCAATTTGTTAAAAAATAATTGATTTTTAAAAAATTGGATTCCCTCTCAAAATTTTCTATTTTTAATGGTAAAGTTGAACATTTGAAAATTAAAGTTACAATTGGTTAAGGAAAATCTACGATCGATTATGAGATTTTCTTTATAATTTCTCCTTTACGCATTATAACTTGATAATTAAAAGTTTTAACTCAATCTTTGAGAGTTGTAATTTCCATAATCGATCGAAGTGTTTTAAGATCTATCGATAGATGGATCTATCTTTCTATTCATATATCTTACTCAAAAAAATGGATTTTGATAGTAAAGTAGCGTAGCAAGAAGCCCCAAATCCTTGATTTGGCCAGGAAAGACTGCACTGCTTTGGGCCCAGGAAGCGAAGGGAATGAGCTCGACTGCTTCTCCTCCACACTTCTTTTTTTCCGTGCCCGTTCCGCATGCGCTTCGCGCGCCATTGGCGCTTTGCTCTCCTCTTATTCTTCATTGGACGGTTCGGATGGACTTCGCCGTTCTTTCCCAACTAAAATAGAAAAGGCTGTATCATATCGAGATGTCGATTCGTTTTCCGCCCCCAATGAGATGGGGAATTTGTAACCCTCTCCTTAAGTTAAGAAAAAGAATGCTGCTTGATTGAACGAACATTGGTTGAACCTTTCTAACTGACACCCCAGTCATAATGGCGGGAAAGGGTGGGCCATTGATAAAGAATCGATTCCAAACCACAATGCTAGCAGATGGCGCGCCTCCGCTTTGATTTTCATTAATGAAACCTGCCAGTTATTATGAACTCAAAAATAAAAAGGACATGGGTTGCACCACTCTAATATAAACCATTAAATTAATAAATTTTATTGAATTAATGGAGTATTTAAAAGTTATGATTATGTCACATCATGTGGTGCAGAGAAAGTGATGCACACATAATTGTTGCTCAAAAACCTATAATTTTTGGTACGATATCGATAACGATACCGTAGATTTTTCCTCTATTGACCTTAGTAGATTAATCTATTCATTAGTAGGACATTCTCTCTTGTGATTATCTTTCTTATCAAAAAACTAACCCAATTAAACCTGGCTTTTTTTAGGCTAGACCTTTGAGATTTTTTTAACTTTCATATATGGATTGATCCAATCGGAGAATTTGCTCTAGAGCGACTATTCTACCTAGCGTATCATCTTGTCCGTCCGGCGTTGTTTTATTTAACACCAACCAATTATCTTAAACAAAAAAATGTTGAAAGAGACTTCGAAATGTGTCACAGATATTAAAATTATAGTAGTATCAAATTATCTATACACATATAAATATGAGGTTTTAAATATTCGATCTAAATATGACCCCTAAAATACAACTGTTGTGTGCCCAAAGAGCCAAGGTTTTATCTCCTAGCTGCCAAGTTGGTGTACTTGGACCCATATCAATGAAAGGTTCATTGACGGAATTGTCACACCCAATCAACATCTTCCAAATGGAGAGCTATAAACGTAGCATTTGAACACGTAAATCTGGGATAAATACACTGGCCCCCCCTTGGTTTGTACCTATTTTCATTGGATACCTTCATGATTATAAAATTATACTATGTGCCCTAAGATTTAGTGTTGAATTTTACAAGATGTCCATTCATTAAGTGATTGTTGATGTCTACTTTTTTTTTTTCTTTCAAATATATAATTTATCATTGCTAGCCTTATATAAGCCCGAACTTCTTCTCAACTCTATCGATGAGATGAGCCCACCAAGCCTATTCAAGTCAACCTACCCACTCCAAGCCTTTTTCTACCCTCTACCTCCAAAACCATATCCACATCCATCACCTAACTTGCCATCATCATCACCATTCCTTCTTTATACCCATAACATCTATGTTCACCATAAGGCACAAGCAAACCCATGTGTAATATCAATTCCTCTAACAAAGCCACCTACCAACTACACTCTTACCAACAAGATCGTCACTTCCATTTCCATCTCTATACTCTACCTCCACCTTTACCACTAAATGTATTATTGGTGTGATGCGATTGTGTTGTTGGTGTTGCTATGACGAGGTTTGTGTCGCTGTGATGATGTAGAGACATTACTAAGAGTTATAAGGGAGAAGATAAATGATAGAGGAGAAAGAAGAGAGAGGTTAGGAATAAGAGAAGAGTCGGTGGTGTAGAGAGTTGCAAGGGAGGAAAGAAAGACAGGGCAGGTTAGGAAGGCAAAGGAGAGGATGCTGGTGCATGAAAGATGGGGTGGGAAAATGCAAGAAAGTAGGGCAATAATTGGGAGATTTTTCAATTCTAAGAGATAGTTTTGGCAGGAACCCAAATTTTTAGGCGGAAATCTACACTTTGCCTACATATCAAATTTAGAATGATCTATACTGCAAAAAATAAAAATAATTTTTATGTTTTTAAAAAATTAATAATTCTTTGTACTTTATTATATAAATTATTTTAAAAATTTACAATATAATACATAATAATTTCTAATTTTATTAAAATAATAAAAAATAAATAATTGTGCCCCATGGACTTGGCCAAGAAAATGGCCAAGTCATGGGCCTCCATCCAAAGTTTGGATCGATCTATCTATGACCAATCTTATTTATTTATTAGAGGTAACTCGTGGCTGAAAGTATGATATATAAATGATTTTGAGAGGAATGTTAGTGATTGTTGGATGAATCTATTTGAAACCGTTGGATGAAATTATTGAAATTTGTTCTATTTTATATTATAAATTTATTTATTTTTTGAAAAGAATATTAAGTGGTGTGCTTTTGTCTTAATGTGAGTTTGGATCAAGCCTCTTTGGTGCCAACAATAAAATTAAAATTACGAAAAATCCGTCATCAACTTTTTCCATGATAGGGATGTTAGTATAATTTAAGAAACTATGAGCCTATCTCATGAAATTAAGCCAAATCATAGGAGATGTTGTGTAGTTCTCCCATTGAAATTTCCACGTAGTTTACGTTGACGTCTGTTCTCTCTATAAAATCAAATCAAATCAATAGCTAGTAGCGTCATACGATTCTCCTCTTGACTGCTGCACTTTACCCCGCTCTCATTGCTTCGCTCTCACTCTCAGCCCCAAGGTGATTGTTCTTTTTTTCTCTTAATTATCTCTATTTACTGCTCATATATATAATTTAATGATTTGTTAATTCCTCAATCATCGAACTTAATCATTGATTAACGAATTATTATACTAAATTATACTATTGGGTTTTGAATGATTGCGATGATCTCGATGCTACACTGAAACAATTTAAAAGTCGTTGTTAGTTGATGTGCAATTTTCAATTTTGTTTGTGTCTTCGTTTTCAACGAGGCTTTGGTTGAATTTCTTGGAGATGGAAGAAATGTTGTAAATATTTTAATTAAATTTCTTGTATTTATTGGATTTTTTGTGTTTGTTTATATGTATAAGAAGATAATTTTGGTAGGTGGTGAAAGAAATATTATTTTATCCGTCTTGGTTTTTCTGAATTAGAAAGTTTGCCATCTATACAAATGAATAATTTGTATATAATTGCTTGAGAGTTTGTCTCTCAGTTCCTGAGGAAGGTTGTAAAGGTATATATATACACACACATATATATCTATATGCATATGTGTGTTTTTGTGGGTTCATTCTACTATAGAAAACTTTAAGAAGTGACACAACTGTAGACTTTGAGAGAAAGTTTTGTTTCTTGTTTATTTGGTTTCAGAATTAATCTGGAAAGATGGCAGACGAAAAGATTGGAATTGCCAAGGATGTTACTGAAGTACGTCTGTATCTATTTTCTTTTGTCTTTTTACAAAAATTTCTTGATGTTACTGAAGTACGTCTGTATCTATTTTCTTTTGTCTTTTTACAAAAATTTCTTTCTTAAGCAGCTTGGTTTGATCAATCTTTTCATCTTTGTTACTTTGATATACAGTTGATTGGTAAAACCCCATTGGTATTTCTCAACCATGTTGTGGATGGTTGTGTTGCACGTATTGCGGCCAAGCTTGAAATGATGGAGCCATGCTCTAGTGTTAAAGACAGGTATTTATTGAGGTTCCTTTTGGATTTATATAAGACTAGTGTGTGGAGTTTTCTTTGTTGTCATAGCAGACTGAGGGATGCTATCTATCCACCAATAGACCTGGCTTTTAGTCAAGATCTGCTCATATGCTGGGTTAGGATGGCAAATTGTGTGTTTGACGCATTGGTTGTAATCACACTTACACTTCCAAGAACTGGGACTGCACTTTTGGTTGAATTTTGAAAATAATTTGCTTATATGTCTTAAATTTTGATGAGCAGGATTGGTTATAGTATGATTGCAGATGCTGAGGAAAAGGGCCTTATCAAACCAGGAGAGGTAAGTAATTGTTATTGGTATGATGAGACCTTCAGTAGATGTGATATGTGTATATTCTCAAATTTTAGTGTTCATGTGGCTCACTAGATCTTATTTTGGGTCTATGTTGAGAAAATGGTTTAGTTATACTCATGGCCAATGTGTCCATTAGGGTATGTTTTTGACATGAGCGCACACACACATGTATCAAGAAGTGTACATTGCAAATGTTATTGATGCTTTAGTGATGGAATCCATGTAATCAGCGGTGCTCTAAATGGATCGGGTTTGGTTTGGAACCTTTTGGCGATGACCATGACTTTGTTCTGATTACCATCTATCATATATTGGCAGAATCTTTTTTAGCTGATAAAACAAATGAATCAAACATTTTTTTGTCAACTGTGGCTGCAGAGTGTACTCATTGAGCCAACGAGTGGTAACACTGGCATAGGCTTGGCATTCATGGCAGCAGCTAAGGGTTACAAACTTATCATTACAATGCCAGCTTCGATGAGTCTTGAAAGAAGAATTATTCTCCGTGCTTTTGGTGCTGAGTTGGTGCTCACAGATCCAGCTAAGGGAATGATAGGTGCGGTTCGAAAAGCAGAAGAGATATTGGCTAAGACACCCAATGCCTATATACTTCAGCAGTTTGACAACCCTGCCAACCCAAAGGTATACCCATCAAGTAACTGTTTTTGAGTTTTGGCTGACGTGATTTCTAATTGGAAATGTTATGTTAATTATTGCTATTGTACATGCAGATACATTATGAAACCACTGGACCGGAGATCTGGAAAGGTTCAAATGGGAAAATTGATGCATTTGTTTCTGGTATTGGTACGGGGGGTACAATAACCGGAGCAGGCCAATTCCTTAAAGAGCAGAATCCTGACATAAAGGTTAGCTTGACTTTCTTGTATTTGTTTCTGATTAATTGCGATTGATAATTCGTGTCTGGTACAGCATTAACTGTAATTTTATGTCTGTAAATATTCTTATTCTGTTGTCTGACTTGGGTTTCAATATTAGCTGTATGGTGTGGAACCAGCTGAAAGTCATGTTTTAACTGGAGGAAAGCCTGGTGAGTTTTTCTTGAATAACTTGGCACCTTTCTTTTCTGTCTTCTTATTTCACGGAAATCACCTTGGTGCATTCTTTCAAATTCTTGTTTATGCTTACTTTAACCAAAAGAAAAGTCTTTCTTTGGTGGTTTTTTAGTCATTATATCTATTCATGGAACACGTGATAATCTAATGCTTCTTACTCGTGAGATCCTTGGGCTTATTTTATTGAATCATCATGGTTCAACTATGAATTTGAGGTTTAATGGATTAATAGGGTCTTAACAAGAGGATTCCTATCAATAATAAAGAAAAAAAATAAGAAAAGCCACATTACACACAAAAACAAATCAAAGAAGAAGAAATAGGGGAAGAAAGGATTCAAGATGCGCGTAAGGATCAAGATAAAGATGAGAAATATTTTGGTATTATAGCCACAAAGAAGAACTTTCAGATTTTTCTTACTTCCTAAGAGAAGATTGAATCGGAGATTTAGAAGTTTCAAACTTTCTATTACATATCAGTTGCAACTAGTATTTGGGTGCATTTGTTTGAGCTGTACGAGATGAAAGTCTCATATAAGGTTCTCAGAGGGGGGGTCCCACCTATTCAATAAAGTCTATAATTGGTTTGAAGAATGTCTTGAGATTCAGGTGATTGCAGATGATATAACTAGAAAGTAAGTGCCTCCGCATGCGAACTATTTTACTGTCTAGGAGGTATTACACTTGTTTTTCAGTTCAAGACTTCAAGTGGCTATGGGATTTGATACAACTTTTTACTATCGTCCGACAGTTGAAGCATGTTTTATGCTTTACAGTTTTTCCCTGCCTAACATCAACATGTTTTTCCTTGCCTAACATTATCATCTTTTGCAATTAGATTGTCAGTGATTCTATCCAAATATCAATTGCATAGTCTCTTAATATTATTGATGTTTTATGCTACCTTCTTATGCGAGATTCAAGCTCTTGGGCATGCATGTCTACCTGGTGGGCTTTGCATGTTTTTAGGGACCGCACATTTAGTCCTAGTATTGCATTAGGCAGATGACCTACCGAGCAAATATAAAGAACCTTATTTGAATTAAATGTTCTAGTAATTTGCCATCATATCCAAAACATGAGAAAATGCAGTAAAAGGTCACATGCTTTCATAAATGTGACTATATGGCCATGATTTTAGTTAGTGTCCTTTTCCTAAGTAGGTTGCCTCCTTCAAGTTTGTGGGTGTCATTATATTTTATCATCTGCAGGGCAATTTTGACCATTGCTGGTTGTTATATTCGATTCGTGTTAACACAATACTGGTTTTGCTTGGGTTTAATGGTTTTTTTGGTGCTTAAAATTCCAATTAATTTATGAAAAGAATGTTAAGCCAATATTTATATATATATAATGTTATATGCTCCTATTTATGTGTTTCCCTTAAACTTCTACGTGATGATGTCTTTTATTAAATATATCATCTATTTTTACTTTGCATGGGAAATTTAAGTTGATGAATTGCATTTTTGTGATGCCGAAGGTCCACATAAGATCCAGGGAATTGGTGCTGGTTTTGTTCCTGCTGTTTTGCAAGTCGATATCGTTGACGAAGTTATTCAGGTAAGACCTAAAAGTTTCTAATTATGCATTCCTGTTTATTGGGTTATTAATTACACTCCTAAGTGGATCTATGTAATATTTTTATATGTGCGCGTGCAGGTGTTACTGTTTATTTATAAACTTTTATAGGTCTATTAATTACCTTTGGCTGCTATGTTTGTTTTTTTTGTCTGTTAAGCATCATGTTTGTGTGGTTTCTCAGGTTTCGAGTGATGAAGCCATAGAAACTGCAAAGCTCCTTGCACTGAAAGAAGGTTTGCTGGTAAGTTCACAATCTTCTCGAGTGTTTGGTTTTTTCTGAGATCTGACAGGGTTTCCATCATGCCACTATTTATAGTTCTGTCCTGCACATTTCCTATTTCTTCTTTTCAGCTTTGATAATGGAAAAATCTATTGCAGGTGGGGATATCATCTGGTGCTGCAGCTGCAGCTGCTATTAGGATCGCAAAGAAGCCTGAAAATGCCGGAAAACTTATTGTTGTAAGTTTGTTCTTTCCTTCTAAATTGGAATTAATATACAATTTGGCTGAGCAAATGAGAAATTTATTGTAGAACATGGTTTGAGGCCGTGGGAAAGATATGGTGGCCTATGATTTTGATAGAAGATACATTACTTTAGGCAGGAATGAGTGGCATTGCTGAACCAAAAGTAGATTTTTTTTTTGATCAGGCAAAAGTAAATATTTCATTTAAGTAGGAAAAACCAAATTACAATCAGTCAAGATAGAAGCCTTAAGCTCGGGTGAGGGAGAACCTAGCCAACTAAGTGGAAGCGAGTTGTTCATAGCAGCGGCTGCCACCCAGTGAGCAGCATTGTTACCGGCTCTAGGCTTGTGTAGAAAGCTAAAGTTATATAACCTAGCATAGTATCTGATATCTTCCACAAAAACATTAATTTCCCACGGGGGAGCATTGTCAGTGGAGCTCAGCTTGATAATGTTGAAGCAGTCATTCATGATTGTGATATTTGCCAAAAGTAGATGGACTATTGCCTTTTTGCATTGTGAATCGATCTTGTATTACTGCTGGCATAATGTTGCATATGAACCATCTGATTGTCCAGTGTGACAATATCTTGGCATATAATTAATCAACCTGGCTTAATTATTGTACACAAATTAAGACTAGTGGACCAGAAATGTCTAGGTGTTTGGTAATCTGACTGATGTACAAAGGACAAAGTTGGGGTCAGTCCATTTTGTCCATAGCCTCTGCGCTCGAGAATGGGCAAATGGAGCTGTCGAACTGTATTAGTGGTTTTATTTACACTCTAATCCCGAAGGCAATACTTACCTAATTATCTTTGGATTTTACATATAGGAAAGATTTTTAGATACTTGAAGCTGATTATACTGATTCTACTGAACTTCATGTATATCCAAAGCTAGTTTGTGGATGAACATGAAGAAGCAATTGCTAGAAGGCAAATCCCAAATCTCAGCTTTTATAAGTTTCAGGGTAGAATTTGACTATAAAGGGCAGTTTTGGTCACTAAAAAATGGCAATTTTCGAGAGAAACTACTCCCTCCTAACCAACAGCACTTTTTGAGTGCATCTGGTGCACATTCGGTCAATTTGGGGTGAAAATCCTTTTTGTTCCATTTTGGTCCAGAACACCAAGGAGGTTAGGTGGACGTTTTTAAAGTTTAGGGAGGTGATGTTACTGGTGGACCAAACAACGGGGGAAGAAAAATATTGAACCATATTATAGATTACCTTTCTTGTACTTAGAATTTTCACCCTTATTTATCTTGCCCGTTTGTCTGTGTAATTATGCAGGTGGTTTTTCCAAGCTTTGGGGAGCGGTATCTATCCTCTGTCCTGTTTGAATCAGTGAGACGGGAGGCAGAGAACATGACTTTTGAAACCTGAGTTGTTTCCTTGTCTCAAAAAAAAAAAAAAAAAAATTGGTGAAATGCCCTTTTCAACGGTTTAGTTGTGCGGTTTCCTGGAGGAGGAGTACTTTGGTTCTTACTGGATGTCTCATAAGGTTGTTTAGAACAACATGATGTCTTTTGCCTTGTTGCTGAACTTACTACCCTGAGATTTGTCCTGGAACTGGTGATCTGAGGATAATATTTCCAATGCTTTTGTTTATTCATTGTATGAATTGAGGGTTCATTTGTGGCCTCTCTTTGAAGCAATTTCTCAAAATTTAGCTCCACACTGATGTGATTTTCTTAGCATGATATTCACTGTTGTTCCCTGTGATTTATACAATGGGAAAGGATACGGACCGTACCAAAAATTATAATTTTTTAAAGGTATAAATTACGATTTAAAAGGCATATTCGATCATGAAAGATTGAGATCGATACCGAGAGTTTATGATTGATAATAGGTGTCTGTGATCGATTAATATTTTTCCTTAGAACAGTTATAGTTGTTTCTTTCAAAATTATAATTTTACTATAAAAAATAATAATCGATGGTATCAGTATCCAAGTAATTCCTTTCTTGTAATGGCAATGATTTCTGCGGAACAGAAAGTAGAATTGCCCGATACTTGGCCCATAAAGTAATTTGCAAATGACCAATTCTCTGTCAGTCCACAAATGCTTGTCTTTAACATCTTCTATGCATCCTTTTTCTGGTCCAATCAGCGTGGCTAATGTCCGATGCTCGTGATTTGTAAGTGATTTATGAATCTAAGTTTGTCTTATTGTCTTTGAGATCGCATAGGATAGGACGTTGAGACATTTCTCCATTATGAAAAATAGAAAAAGATGACTTAGTTGGGATAATATAATTGGCCCAAGTTACCCGCTCAAAGTTTTTATAATTGTTGCTTTGGATTGAAGCATGCATCAAACCTAAGTTTGTATATCATGTGGGTGCCAATGATTAAAAATTTGTTTCAAAACTGGTGAAATGACGGAAATATTTGTGTTTTTTAGGCTATCGAAATAAATTAATAATTGAACTGAAATTTTAATATTTTAAGATATTTCAAGATGTTTCCAAGTGTTGCGAGGTATTTTGACATCTTTGGAACCAATGTTTGATGATGTGTCGAGGCTTTCAAGGCGTTTTATATATTTTGACCAATATTTTGAAATGTTTTAAAAATAAGTTTTTAAAATTTTTTATGCGTTTTTGTTCTATTTTCAAAATGTTTTCGAAATATTTTTATTTTTTAAGTGATCAAAACAATGTACAAAAATAAAATTTTAATCCTCGGTGGATGCATATTTTTTATTTTTTGGCATTTTTGTGAACGCATAAGAGTGTGGAAATGATAACCGTTATGCCCCTATCATACGATGCATTCAATCCCGTTATTTTTATTCTCAACTTAACTCAACAAAAATTTTATCGAATTAAAATTCATAACTTTTAAAGCTTTGGACTACAACTTATTTTACAAGTGGTACTTCTGTTAGTAACCAGTGTTACTGCTGTGTCTGAAGCAAGTCACCAAGCTTGTGGAACATGTCGGAGGAGAATTAAAGCAAGTGGGCTAAAATAGAATAACGAAAACATTTGGGCGGTATAATTTGACTCCTAATAACATTATTAAAATACAGAACAAGCCCCTGTTAATAGTTTAATTGCCCTAATCTACCGCTTGTGTCGTCAATCTTCTGCCTCTCTTTCTCTCTCTCACCTCTCCCTTTACAGCGCCGGCGATCACTGACCACCAAAGCGGCCATAGCAGCTCCGACGACTTCCAGGTAAGGCCTTTTTCCTACCTCTTTCTTTTCTAGTCAAAGCCCTAAGCCTGGACTCTCCACAGCCTAGCACCGAACCAATCTATCACCGCCGGTGATGAGAGGCCAAAGCATAAAATGAGGCCCTAAGGACCTTCAAGCAATTACGAATTAGTTTTGGGGAATCAAATTAGTAGAAACAACTGGAAAACAAGAAATAAGTTCGATTCACAATCTATTAGCTGGACAAGATGTAGCAATACAAATGTGGGAATTTGAATCCCCCTTGAAAACCTAAAAAAAAAATAAAATTGAGTAAGAGTTGTTATAACTTATAAGCATTTTACATGGGGTATAGATGTGAATTTTGTCTTTGTAATCATCTGTAAAAGTTGTGTATTGTACTGTGCTTTGATAAAAACATTATGGTTAAAATCCTTATTAGGGTTTTAAAGGACGAAAAATATTGAAAGACAAATACTAGTTTGTTGTTTTTACTATGCTATCTCTGTGGGTTTTGGATATTGATTTTTTCCCCTAGCTATGGGTCATTTAGGGGCTCCATTTTCATGCACATACGTCTTATTCTGTATAAGAGAGTTTTTAGTTATCAATCCATAAGGATTTTACCAAGTTCTATAAGGGTGTGTTGCCAAGGCATGGGTGTTATATATCCTGCAGATGAAAGCTTCCTCTGAATGATATCTATGCTTGCTAAATCATTTGGGAACATTGATTTATATTGGAGGAATCAGTACTCCAGGAAGAGAGGGGGTGGACGTGCGTAATTGTTCGTGGGGGAGTTCTAATCTAAGCAAGCTTGTTTATTCTATGTTATTGAGAAATCGGTATTTCCCCCAAACCGCTAGCTGTCATACGCCTCAAAACTTCTAATGTTGTTCTGCCTCCAAACGGAGAGCTCAATCCCTTGCGGCTGAATTTCCCGATTCCTAGCTTTCGTACCAGATGATTGCCACTACCACGTTCTCAGCAAATTCTTTTCAATGCGAATATAGGCCTTGCATCCATAGCTATCTTGTTTGTCTCTCAAATATATGAAACATGGTGAATAACAGATATCTTGTGAGCTCCAACATTAATTGGCTTAATGGTTTTAGTGAACAATTCATATTTGCCTGTTGCAGTGATTCTGATACTTTTTTTCACCAACATCAGTATATGGAAAATATGTAATGAACTATCTGCCACCAAATCTGATAATGAGGAACCCTCGCGTGGCGGGGCACCCAAAAACAACCTTCTCACTTGACAAAACCTATTTAACACTCTGTCAACTCTTAGAAATCTGTCTATTTGGAAATAATCATTACATGTAATACTCAAATTAAGTGATAGGATACAGGTTATTCGTTTGTAATCTTGAGATACCCCAGTTTCTTTCATATTATTTGGCATAATTGCTGTTAAATATTTGACCTGTAGAAGCATGAGAATGTTGGTTGATATATTCTTCCATTTTGTTCGACTAGAATCATGGCTGGCAAATTTGAAGGTGAGGAACCAATAAATGAGCAAGCGGTCGCCAACATGTATGGTGCCATGAGGGCGGAAATCGACCAAATTTACTCGAAAATTACTGAACTAGAGATGGAAGTTAGTGAGCACTCTTTGGTGATTAGTGCCATACAACCACTTGATCCATCAAGGCGGTGCTACCGGATGATTGGAGGTGTGCTTGTGGAGAGAACCATCAAAGAGGTCTTACCAGCTGTTCAGCGCAATAAGGAGGGGCTTGAAGAGGTTATTGCTCGGCTTAACGAGGCCTTGGAAAAGAAGAAAAAAGAAATGAATGAATTTGAAGCTAAATACAAAATTAGGATCAGAAAAGCTGATGATGAAGTGATGAATGAGAATGGCAGAAAGGAAGGGTCTGCACAGGGAGTCCTTGTCGGTCCTGCTGGTGCAAATGAATAGATCGATGTTGTGTTGTTTGAGTTCGTTTACATGTAATTGTCTTCAACGTGGTAAATGAGAGTAATGTAGATGAATTATGAGTGCTTAGGCTTTGTATTGTTGAATCACTACATGTTTATAGTTCACTGTTGCACTATGGTCACCTTTTCATTTTGTGAATTTCTGTTTCCATTTGATCAATAGTAGAACCTGTAAGATATGATTTAGTAAGTTCAAGGAAGCACCAAGGAAAATGTAAGATATGATTTAGTAAGTTCAAGGAAGCACCAAGGAAAACATTCAATAGTTGAGCTTGACCTCTGTAATTTGAAGGATACAGGTTCAATTTTTTCTTCATTTTCTAAAGGCTAGTCACTCTTGTTCTTTAGGGATATGCTCTAACTCAATTCAAGCCATGGTGACAATCACTGAGTTTGAGAGAGTAGTCGGCACAAATTTAAACACCTTGGAACAATAAAAAGAGGAAAACTTTATCAACCAAAAATGGCCTTCACTTGTAGCAAAAAGAGTAGATATACAGCCACATCATTTGTAATTTGCATATATTCTCTGCCCGTGCTTTTCCCTTAGGAAGTGGTAGCACCTCAGGAGGCTGTGAGATTTTCAAATGTTTATGTAAAATAGAAGAGTAATGATTCATTACTCTTATAACTACAGTAATGCTAGACTGATCAAAATTTTGGACTAAATTTAGAGTCCAAATGACATGGCGGTTGACTTGGGCTTTTTTGATTGGTATCATGTCATTTGGGTTCCAATAAAAATTTCAAATAATCAATTGCCATATCATTTGAGCTCTAAATTTAGTCCTAAAATTTGGTCAGTGTAGCATTACTCTTATAACTATTGAATAGATAGTGAGTCTTGATAAATGTTGAAACCCACAATAAAATCAATTGTTATAATTATCAAGTTTATTTTTTAAATTCATGTAACATTGCTCAAAATAGAATAGAGAGTGAGTTAGACTTTCAAAATGTAGAGAGTCAAATAAGACTATCTATTTTAGTTAGTTTAAATAAATAGTGGATTTGCATTTGATTTTTGGTAGTTAATTCTTTAAAACAGAGAATTGAATAAAAAAAAAGAGTCTATTGTAGATGTTTAGAAAACATCTTTCTAAAATCGAAAATGATAAAATTATGCTAGCCAAATTTGTTTACCAAATTTTGTATCCTAAATAATATGTCAAAATCTTTTACATTAAATTTTTGGTGGATTTAGTGAATCTCGCCGATTCAATCACTGACACTGATTTGAAATATAAATTTTGATAAATAATTTGGTACTGTTTTTGAAATTATAATAATGAGGCCAAAGTGTACTTAGATATTTTCAGATTTGAAAGAAAACCATTCCCAAGGTAGAAGCTAACCCAGGAAATTGAACGAGACAACGAAGTATCAGAGGCCAACAAAACTGAAACAAAGAGCTACAAACAAAACATTGCAGTACTACAGGAGCAAACAAGTTTCCCAGATCATTCTATCTTTCTGTTACTTTTTTTGAACAGTACTGTTTGAAGTAAATGAGTTTGTGAATGCTGTTTGCGACACTGTTTTTAGTTAGTTTGCAATTATATAATATTTAGTTACGACTTAAACAGATTAAGTATAACTCAATGAATCACTTAGAATCAATCTTAAAATGATGGAGTTGATTCCAAGGCTCTAAGATAGATTAGGGTACTTTTAGAATCAGTCTCAAAATTTAGTTACTCTAGCAAAATTATTGGAATTTGTTCAAATCATAACTTGAACCAATTAAGTTGGTTATAATTTTTTTAAAATTTTTTTTCATATAGTATGATAATATTTTTTTAAAGATAATATTTGAAATCAACCGTAAGAGATATTTGAATTAACTTATACGCACCTCGATTAATCTCTTCTTCAATCTAATCAAAAATAAATCATCTATGCCGCAATTAAGATATTCATGAGGGATAAATCCCTCATGATCTAATCTTAAAAAATTGTAAAAATTTAAACTTAAAATATTTAAATTTATAACTCATTTTAGTTAAAGTGATGGAGGTCGTTAGATAAATTTATTTGAGACCGTCGAATAGACTTATTGAAGTTTATCATATTTAATATTATATATTTGACAATTGACACAAATAAAAGTAATATTCTATAATATTTAATCTTCTTACAAATTCTATATTTTACTCTTTTTTTTGTTATATATTCCATAATTTTTGAATCAAAGGAATTTCTAAGAAATCAATTTTAGTTTGTTAATTTTAAGAGATTTGGTATGAACTTTTTTTTTTTTTGTTTTGTCCTTGTATCCAACTTATTTGACCCAATTAATTTTTTTTTCATAAATCATTACAACGAGCCCAAATAAGAATATATATATATATATATATATATATATATATATATATATATATATATATATAAAATATAAAATAGGACGGATTCAACAAATCGATCTTACGGTCTCAAATTTATTTATCCAACGGTCAAGAAATTATAATTTTTTTCCTTAATATTTCCTCTCCCAAATAGTCAACAATTACGACTGATCTTAGAACACAACTTACAGTCTCAAATTTATTCATATAACAGTTATTAATTTATTAGCGTTGACTTTATAGATTAATCCAACGATTATAGATGTGCTGGTAGTCGCTCCAGAGAGTTACATGCTATGTCTTTCTTTTGAATTGTTTGCATTGAATTTTAATAGCTAGATTAAATTCTCCGAATTGATTTACTATTTTCATAAAGGATATAATTGATGACAATAATACAAAATTTATTCTAATTTTTTTTTCAACTCAAAAATATCTGTTCGGCTTTCAATGTTGAATAACTCTATTAATACAATCTTTAATGTAAAATAATCCCATTAATTTACACAATTCCCTCCCTTATTTTCTCTTTATTCACTCTAGTTTTAAGGTGCATAATTAAAATAATTAATTTATTTTTAAAATATAATATATTGTGCAATCAATATTTAATTTTACATTGGCAAGTGTTTATTGTCAATAACCGAGACAAATGTCAAATGTTATATATCAAATTTAAATTTAAAAGTCTACGTGACAATTGGACATATAATATTTGACATCTTCACCTTACACTTCAACCGATATGTCAAATGTTATATTTTAAATTTATGTAAGAGTAATGCTACATAGATTTAAAAATTAGATTTGATAATTACAGTTATTAATTTTATTGTAGGTCCTAATAAATACTGAGACCCACATTAAATTCAATTAATATAATTTTTAAATTTAATTTTTAAATTCATGTAATATTATTTTTTATGTAAAATATGAATAAAAAATTGTGATATATTAAGATTTAACGAGAGATATTTGATAGAACGTCAAAATTTAATCAGTACTTAGGACTTGACATAAAAGTAACTTAGAAGGTTACATTCATCGAGGCCTGTACTTCCCATGCCTTCCTTGGCTAAGAAAAAAAAAAGCATATCTTTCTCGCCATTCCATGGGTAACCCAAAAAAGAGGACAGAAAAGAAAAGGGCAGGAGAGAGAAAGAGATTCACACCAGCCGCCGTGATGTGGCACAGTACTGGTGTTGGTCTTCAGTTTTCCGGCGACTGTTGGTAGTTGTTGATGACATGATGAGAGAAATGACAAGATCTGCGAAAGCACGGACAATGATCTTGTGGGTGTGTTTAGGGTTCAGAGTTAAATAACTTGAGAGAAGTTTATGCAACAAATCCCAGTCAGTCTTTACGTCAGTCAGCTGGTGTGCTTCCACCATCTCCTGCATTGATCTCCGGAAGTCACAATATGGGTCCGGCGAGAATGTATGAACGGCGACACCGCCGTTAACTACCGGGTCAGACTCCGTCGCGGATTCCCGTGATTCAACGATGGAATTGGAGCGGCCGGGGGAGGAGAAAAAGAAGCGTTGAGAGGCGAAAACGGTGGTGATGTCCGGTAAGTTTTCAGGGTCGGAGTAGTCTGATGAAGTGAAGAAGTCATCCGTGGAAGAGGTGAGAGACTTGGAGCTGGAGTCCGAGGTGAGTTCGTAGAGGGCATTGAAGTTTTTCATTAGGTTTGGTGTGATGGAGTTGATGGATGAGGTGTGGTGGTTTTGATCTGAAGGTGGGGATAGAGCTGTGCGTAAGCAGCTCAATTTGGGGATGCAGAGGTGGAAGTTTTTCAACAAGATGCTGGACATTTTCAGTATCTTGTGGGGGAGAGAGGAGATATATATGATGGTTGTCTGGATCGCTTGCACGTGTGTTAAAAAAGATATAATCGATGTTAAAAAATTATGATTGATATCGAGAGTTTATGGTTGATTATAAGTGTTTAAAATTGATCATATGAACAACTATAATTTCTCCTATTAAAGTTTTTTTGGTACAATAGACTTTTTTGCATGAAGATAGGAGTGCAACTCGGGTGAGTTGGACAGGTTGGACACTCAATCTTAAATATATAATCTTCAACTCTAACTTTAAGCCTAACCCTACATCGGATTGAGAAACTCAACCCGAGCACTGCCCGAATTTAATTCGGTCGAACTCGAGTTGAATTCAGGTTAATAATTTAGGATTGATTTCAAGTTACTTTACAGGTTCAATTCGAATTCAGTTCGGGTAGAGCCTAAAATAAGTTTGTTGTTCTAAATCTAATACATCTATTCCATAATATTCATCTAAATTAACAATCAATAACTTCAACCAAGATTTTAACAGTGTTAATGCTAGAACAAAAATGAAAATGAACGAGAGAGACATAGAACGATATAACAAAAATGAAAAATCAGTGCTAATACTTTATATATATAATTTTTTTTAATTTATCGGGTTTCGGTTAAACCCGAGGCCTTAACCCGAACTCAATCCAAATTAAATTCGAGTTAGAATTTTTTAACTCAAACTCAATCCAAATATTAAAAACTCTTACCTAAATCTTAATTTTTTTTAAATTGAATTTGGATTAAAATCGAATTCTTCGACCCAAATTACACCCCTACACGAATTTATATAACATTGCATGGTAGGGTATCTTTGTATGCAACTGTGGAAAAGAACAATTGTCCTGGCTACCTAAGCTGTCCTGAGGTTAACCCATCAATCATCATTGTCCTTTACAGTGATGTGGCTCACGAGGGACTTCTCCTGGTGACAGCCTTTTTTCAAATGTTTGTATGTGGGGGGGTTCAGTACATTTCTGAATCTTAGCTCCGATGCTGGGTTTACATCAATTATAGTACACTAACCTATAATATATAAATTTGGTATTTACGATGCAGTGCAACTGTGCAATTGTTGCCAGATTGGTGTGTCTAGTGATGCAATACTCTTCCATAGCTATCGCATCTAATTATTCTTTACAAGAATTCGTTCTGTGAAGAATTTAGTTTTTATTACTATTTATGAGTCATTGCTTTATTATTTTCTAAGAGCTCTAGTGCCTGGGCCCCGTTTTTCTATTTTCTTGAGTTGCGTTCTATGATTTCAATGTTAATAGTCCATCAATTTTTTTGAGTGCCATGAATAATTTCTTCAAAATTTCACTCAGGATCGTTAGTTTTTGACTTTAAGACCATTTGTTGGGGGATTAGGAAATCCAATGATCAAAGAAGCACATGTCTAAAACTTATATCCACTTAGAAACTTAAATTTATAGGCGATGAATCCATCGACAATATATTATGACATTTTAACTTATCATGTAAAATTTTTACAGATGTCAGATCCAACAATCTTCTACTTGAATCACATCAGACTTAACTTCTCTTTTAATCGAATCCATTATTCTCCATAAATTTTGTATTCAATTATTATTTATAAGAGTCCGCTCTTTTAAGAATTAAACTTTTACTTTTTTTTAACAAGTCACTACATTACCGTTCCACTAAAAGTCCATGGGCTCAAGCGCATGCTCTACTCTTTTTTTTATAGTTTCATTTTCATCACTTCAATACCAAGAGTCAATCACTTTTTCTAAAACTCATCTTTAATGCCGACACGTTATGCCATTTCTTCAAAAGTTCATACAAAATTGTCCATTATTAGCTTTGATAACACTTATTGGAAGACCCAATAATTGTCAATAATTACATGAAAAGAAAATTATTTCAAATAGAGAGAATATATTAATTTATATAATTATGTAGAAAATTCGTTATGTATATCCTTGAGTGCAATTGTTTGGTACTATATCATAATAATAGAATCATATATATATCGACACCAAAACTCTAATGACTTGTACATTGAAATTTTTTTTAATATAACTACCGAGTGAGGTGGTACAGTAGAGTACTGATCAAATTTCTTACCTTGAGATTGAATGTTCAAGTCATAGAATTCACATTAGAGATCAGTAATTGACTGTTATGCTAGTTTTTCTAGGTTCGTTCCAAAGAAGAGTAACGGACATAGTCAAACACCTCATTATTCCACCAATGAGAACCTATTGGAGTAGTCTCTATACACTTTCTTTTGTCCGTATCCCTTTTCTCAATAGCAATAAAATACCTAATACACCTTTGTGCATAACAAAAACCCAAGTTCCCCTTTTTATATCCCAAACCAGACCCCCCCCCCCCCCAAAAAAAAAAAAAAACCTATTCTTCCCTCAAACAAACTATTTTTACCAAGATTAGCTGCACTGCACTTCCACCATCCTTGGCATTGAGTTCGTAAACCTTGAATTCTCCAAGTTAGTGACCAGGAATACTACAACCAGTATGTGGCGCATGAAATTTTACATGAAAAACATGTATCACCATTACAAATGCGCTAAACTTGACCTCACCATGACCCATCCCATGACATGAACGGGCGGGACTCCGAGCAGGACACGCAACCCCTGCCCCATTTCATAGCAAAGCATGTGCTCTGGGATGAAAACCCAAATTTAGAAGCCACCTCACACTCTGACAACCTATCTTTAAGAACTATTAGCAAGTGAAACCTACAGTTCAACTTGTAAGTCAACCCCTTTTATGCACCCCCCTCTCTCTCTCTCTCTCTCTCTCTCTCTCTCTCTCTCTCTCTCTCTCTCTCTCTCTCTCTCTCTCTCTTCATTTATACACAACCATACAAAACTCACTCAAACCCACCTAGTTCACCATCAGTCAAAATCAGTCGAAACCCCAAATCCACCACCTCTAGAACCATTCCAGTGATGCCTATAAAATCAAGTTGTTAGGACCATGTTAGCATAATATTAAACTAAAATTTCAATTATCATAATATCTAAGGTACCATGTCCAACTCATATATTAACAAAATAGGTTTAATTTTTAAGTCCCACCAATATTATTCTATATTAGATATCCAAATATAATTCATTAATTACACTCAATAAAATTGTTGATATGGAAGAATTCGATGCTGAATGAATTTGGTAGGAGCATTAAAAATAGATCTATTAAATTTCTGAATGACGAAGGAGGAAGCAAAGTGAACACTAATAAGGTATCCAAGCACCTTTGTGAATAACACTTGTAAGAAGCATTTCAAAATAATATGACTACAAAAGGAGTTCAAGATCATAGACTTATTGGGTAGTCTTTCCCTCCTGCAGGTTGGCTGATAATGAATACAGATGGATGCTCCAAAGGGAACCTGGGGTCAGCAGCAGCAGGAGGAGTGTTAAGAATTGACCAAGGACAGTCGCTATTGGGATTCTATGGAAAGCTTCCGAATCTTACCCGTACACAAGAAGAGCTTTGGGCTATCTTTTGAGGCCTTTCAACTCATCCAGAGTGAAGATCTGGACAAAGTCATCATGAAAACAGACTCTCTGAATACCCGTAAACTGTTAGCGGCGAGGGGTGATTCTCCACTGTCCCCCAACTGACTTTAAAGGAGGACTTTTGAACAATGATATTGCTGGAATCTCTTTTTGTTATAGTTAGTCTAAACAACACCACTGTACGCTCTCTCTTTAGCACCACGTCTCTTATTCATAGGAGGTCTTTCTCAACTAGCAGGTTTTTTTTTCCAAAAATTCTATTTATTCTGGTGGAATAGTTATCTTAACCATTCCGCCATTCTTGACTTTAACACGAATGACACAAATCGGTCCAGAGTTCCACTTTCACCTTTTCTTAGGAATGGACTACATATGCCCAAAAATTAAAAGTAAATTATACTTTGACTTTCTATCAATTATGGCCACAACTTTATTTTTTTGAATTAATAAAATTTGCACATTATTTTTAAAATTATTTGAATTGGCTTTTGACATTTCGAATCAAGGGCAGAACCAAAATTTTTGTTTATCTCGGGCTAAACTAAGCATTTATAAGACTAACAAATACAAATATAAACTCATAAACATATATATAATAGTATAAATGTAAACTCATACTTAAATGATTTCTACATAGATAAATAGTTAAATATTTAATGAAATGATCACATATTGGTCATGTAATACTGTCTGAAAAAATAACACGTGATCATTGTCGTAAAAAAACTTAACGAATTATCAAATTTAAAAACAAAATAACACGAATTAAAATTTTAGTAATCAAATTAATAAAACGAATATATTTTAAGCATAAAAATACTATTAACTAAAACAAATATGTAACAACTTATATTGAAGGTTATCACTCAATAATTGATGATTCTTCCCGAAGCCACTAGATTAGCAATGCCCAACAACCAAACCAAACCAAAACCTCTTTTATTAACTAATGAATTAGCCTCACTGGCCTCATAAATTCCACACGCCAGATATTTTGAACCTTCTCAAAAGACCCAAAAAATAAAATAAAATAAAAATAAAAATAATAATATAATACAAAAATTTGCACACACAATCCCCACACATACGTAAAATCACATGCATTATCAAAAACTCTTACTCCTTTGCAACACCGCATGCTCTCCCAAGCAGTACAACTACACGTCCTCCTAACACCCACTGGCCCCACATCTCTCCACGTATCACCCTCCTGCACCGTTGATCTTTCATTCAATTTACTCACACCATGAACTACCGTGATTTGAACCACACGCAAGCATTTCTCTTCATCATCCTTCATAAACATCTTGGTCGACCGACAGAGTAGACAGGACATGTGAGACCCCAGCCACGTGTCAATGCACCGAGATGGAACAAGTGTCCACAGTACGGAATTAATTTCACAATTTATTTTTTTTTCGAATTCCCCCAAGCAAATTAGGCAGTCCTCGATCGGGTGGTTCGCGTCCGCACCGCAATGAATAAGAGGCAGAGATTTGACGGTCTGGGTCGAGGCCTTTGGAGTAGTGGTGGGGCCTTAATAAAGATGAAGAGGGTGGCGATGGCTGTCTACGACGGCGGACGTCGGTGCTGCCATCGTTTTCGTAGCCGGTGAAACGGCGGATGTAGATGGAGAAGAAGCCCATGAAAAAGAGAGCTGTACGGATGACGAGGATGGTTAGGGCTCTAATAATTTTTTTTTTCCCTGGGCTTCAGCCCCATCACAGCCCACTAATAATTTCGTCCTTGTTTTCAATGGTAAACATTCATTACGTTTTTGGGCATAAAATGTCTAAACCTATAAGAACAATAGATATTTTTAAAGTCTAGAAGTGAGCCAATATAAAATCAATAATAATAATAGTTAAGATGCATTGCGAAAAAACATGATAGTTGAGAAAAAAAATGTGAAACTAATAACTATATTAAAGATATATTGTAAAAAAATGTGATAATCGAATAAAAAATATGAAATATCAAAGACATAATTGAGGGGATCAAAGTATATTTTTTATACCATCCGAGTTAATGGTCTAGGAATAAGTCATACCTGTTTAAGGTCATTCTTGACTCTAATATGATTATTAAGTAGAATTCGATATACAAGTGTAACATGACTTGCTGTTTGATTTTGTGGTGTTGTGATGACAGGTTACTTAAATCGAACATTTTACATGGGACCCACATGGTCACGGTATTACTACCTAGGGATTAGACAATTAGTGTGTTTTTATTATCTTTTTTGTCCTTATCACATGATTTCAGTTTAAAATACGGTTAGTTTTTTTTGTGTGTGCGTGTGTGTTTGTTATTGGAAATTTTGTGGTGTTGTTTATCAATTTTGAATTTCAAATTCGTAAATTAAGTAATTTGGAAATATATCGATTGTTTATCTGAAACGTTAATTTTCTTTCATTCGCGTCGTTATTTGTTAAACATGTATAGGTGGAATTCCAGACGATTGGTATCTTTTTGCATGAGACCTTGTTTGGCGTGTGCTTCGTTAAACCTATAAGCATTTGTATGTTACCCTGTATTTTTTGCTCCCTTAATTGATCCATTATTTTATGTGTTTAAGTTCTTGTTTTTTGATATGCAATTTATATAGATATTTCTATAGAGGTAGATGAAGAGATTTAAATATATGTTCATTATGTTGTTAATTGTATTGTTAATTAAAAAAACGTCTATCCAAATGTTTCATCTCAATATATCTATTATAGAGATACACTGAATTCAGTCAATATTAGTAAATGTATGTTAATGTACATGTGAACTATCAGATAATGAGTACGTTAATCGAAAACATGCCATTTTTTTAGTGTATTTATCTAACAAAACGTGTTTATGAAATTTTTTTTTTATTATGATAACGTAATTTTTTATAATAGGTATTTTAATTACGTGATGATATTGTCTTTATTTTGTAATTTTATGACATTAATTATGTCAATTATTTTGATTTTTCAAAAAAAGACTTAATCTAAAAATAAATTCACAAATAGATTTTTTTAGAATCCTATTAGGTCTGAGTACCGGTTCCAAAAAACTCGACTTTTTTTTATCAAAATAGAAAAAACCCGCCAAATAGCCCGAGGAAAGAAAACAGCACTCAGAAGCCTGACCCGAGTGGGTCTCAGCTCCGGTAATTTGGACAAGAACACGCGCAAGTTGGGGCCGAACGGTCACTCCGTCGAGTTCTTTCACTTTCTTGTTCAGTTGTGGGGGTTTAGGGTTTCTGAATCATATTCACTGCCACGGTATGTACATTCTCTCTCCCTCTCTCTCTCTATTAATTTTGGTATATATGTGCTTCATCTGAATTCGGAGGATCTTGATTTTCGCTCTTAATTTTGGTTGCCTTTTGGAGTTCTCAGGTGAAATGTATTTCTTCTTGATTTGAGTATTTCCAGAAGATTGGAAAGACCTAGTTTGGTTTCATTTACATCTCTGATTTCTCGCTAAGCGTCATCCAGAAGGGGACAGTTTTCTCAGGTAAAATCTCCCAACACAAATCTCTCTCTCTCTCTCTCTGTGCATACTTGATCAAGGCGCGTGCGGAGGTTCCCAATGTGTTTGACTAGTGTCCCGTATCATTTCGGATGGCTTAGTAGTGCCTAGATTTTTTTTGTATTGTGTATTATTTGTTACGATAAGATTAGATGTGCGTATGTGAACTCTTGGGTACCCTTTCCACCCATGAGTTCATAATAATTGGTATCAGAATAAGCCACCACGTTGTCGAGAATGACATCAAACTTAGTCTGATTTGCAGCTCTCTGTGGTTTGAGCGCCCAAGTGAGCTGTTTTTGCATTGGCAGTTAGTGCTGTTGTTTATTATATTAGCGGACATCATCTACGAATTATAAATGCTCAGCTCATACTCAACAAAATCTTATTCAAACTACTGGACACAAGCATCTTCTGAATCCCTTGATAAATGTAGCACTAGCTGCTAGTAAAAATATGTTTCTTGTAGTAGAATTCCAATACCCAAGGGGTTGTTTGCTGCTTTACTTGAAAAGAAAAAGAGATACACCTAAGGAATGCTTAATTGGGCTGACAAATAAAATGCTCAGTCTTAATCCACTGGAATGATAATATTACATTTACAGACATCATATTTTGAAGGAGTAGTATTCCCTTTATACTATGCATTTAACTACCTGATCTGGGGATCCATTTTTATTTACACGAAATACTACCAGAAGTCGAGGATGATATGTATCTTTCCATGAAAGATACTTATAAATTTGAGGACTCCCTATAAATTTGGACTCTCTAGCGTATATTTATATTTGGAGAATTATTTGTCATTGTCGTACAGTTTGTAAACCATGCTTTCTGGGACAAAAGCATTTAATCTTTATGTGTTTATTTCTTTATTATGGCATTTTCGTCATTAATGCTATATTTTCCATTTTAGTTCCTCTCGTGATGCAACAATACATATTATGTGTTAACTGCTACTCATTCGCGTTTTGACAGCTAAGGATATCCAAATGGATTCGGGTACAGTTCAGCAGTCTGAATTGTTGTCTGCGAAAAAGGAATCTATGGACATCGATATTCCTGATGAAAGTAATGGAAGCACTGCTGGGATAAAGGAAAATGGATTTCATCTTTATCCTGTTCCTAGTAATGATAAAGGTGAAGGTTTGCCCTATGCACCTATAGATTTTCCTAATCCTGGTGATAATTGGATCTGGAAGGTGGGGAAGAGAATTGCAGCTTCTGGATATCATATGGATAGATACTTGTATCTTCCTCTCCGTCTTCATGAAAGCTGCAGTGGACGTAGGAAAAACGGATTTGCAAGCAAGCTATCAGTGGAACAGTATATCCGGACAGTATTCCCTGGTACAAATGTTGATGCATTTTTTGCCTCCTTCAGTTGGAAGATTCCCTCAAGAAAGCTATATGAGAAAGGAGGTCAGGTTTAGTTCAAGATTGTTCTGTTTCTACTGTTTTGTTAATGGCATAATTGGGGCTTAATTTGTCTGAAACACAATTATGTGGACCTGCTATGGTATTCTTGTAAAATGCTTCACTCTTTTATAAGTCTGGTATCAATGTGGATGCCTCCTTCAGTTGGTGCATTTTTGATTTCTCAAAGTTATCAGCAATGTTTGTGTATATATATATACACACACACATATATTGAACTGCTATTGTGAAGAAAATTTACTAAGAATTATTGCTTGAGTTTAGGTTGTCAGATTGATGCCTACATTCAGCAAATGATTGTGTTTGTTTACTCCCAACTTGTATATGCGAGGAAAATATTTTTGCTCCTGTTCTCCCTGATCCTTAATCTCACCAGCTTTCATATTTGGTGACATTGTTTTTTTATAAACTTGCATACCCTCATCTTCTTGGTAATCTACTGTATGATCACTAATGTGGATGGATGAGTTATCATCAGAATGGATATTTGAAGGGCTCCTCACAATTATTGGGAGAATGTAATGTCTATGCATATATATAGTTATTTCCCTTAACACATTTTTTTTTCATTTGTTTTTGTTAACAGAAGCTCAACCTCTGTGTAGGTAATGCAGAAGGGCTTGCAATTGGCTTTGTTCCTTCCAGGGATATAATGGACCATTCAGGGCCTGATTCCCAATTTGGGACTGCAGGATGTAAGGCTGGTAACAAAATGTGTAACAGTTTAGAAGAAGCTAGGAATCCCTCTCTTGAAGCCATGTTGTGCGACGTCTGCTGCAGTGAGCCTGGTTTCTGTCGAGACTGTTGTTGTATTCTTTGTTGTAAGACTATAAGTTTGGCCTATGGAGGCTATAGTTTCATTAGATGTGAAGCACCTGTAGCTGGGGGCTTTATTTGTGGACACCTTGCCCACATAGACTGTGGTCTCCGATCTTATATGGCTGGGACTGTAGGAGGAAGCATTGGTTTGGATGCTGAGTATTATTGTCGGCGTTGTGATACAAAAACAGATTTGGTTTCACATGGTATGAAGCTTTTAAAGACCTGTGAATCTATTGATTCTCGGGAAAACATTGAGAACATTTTGAATGTTGGTATTTGCATTTTGCGTGGCTCACAAAAAACAAGTGCAAAGAGGTTGATGTCTCATATTGAAATGGCCATGGCAAAGGTAAGTGTACACATGTTAGTTTCTTTTTTTTTGAAGAAGTTTGTCCTTGTTTCTAGGGTTTCTATATTGGCAACATGACTAATTTGATATTTACAGCAGCTCAGGAGTGGGTCTCCCCTTGAAGATGTTTGGAAGGTAGAAGACATCTCTGCTGTAGTGGCAGGTAACTTTATCTTTCTAACCTACACTGTTCCAAGTTATTATCTCAATCTATGGGA